ACTAGAGTCCTAGATATCAGAGAAGCGCAACCGGTTTAAGTCAGTATCGCAAAATTACTAAGAAAAGTATTAAAAATGGCGTCGTTTGCAGACGAAATATGAAATCCACCAATCGTCTATTAGTCAGCCATTTTTAATACCACTGAATGAATGTCATGATTGGCTGACAGTCAGCTAATCAGAACGCGGAACATCGGTTGCGCTTCTCTGATATCTAGGACTCTAGTACATACAAGGGTATGTTATTGCGCATCTAGAAATCACGTGACAAAGAAGTGACCAATAAGAATTGTCTCAAAGTAGACGTCACCAAAACGAAGGAAATTTAAACAAGCAGTTAGAAATAAGACTAACTTATGGCTTCAATAAAAGAAATATAAGGAAAAAAAATAAAGAACAACGGGAATGTAAAACGAAACTGGTATTCGGAAGTAGGCAAAGAAAAGGTTAAAGGACGAAGATTATGAAAGAAAGAAAAGGAACCGGTATAGCACTATTGATTACAGTTATATAATGAAATAAATGAAGAATTGACGAAATTAGAAGAGGGTTTAAAATTGATAGAACTTAATATGTAAGAATGTAGATAAGTAATTTGCGAGCATGAAATTATAGGAATGACTAATATGGATGAGTTAAAGTTATAGAAACTTGTCCAATACATCGCTGAAATATTGAATAGTACTCTTCAGCTTTTATTTTCATAGTATTTTACTTTTGGCAACGGAGAGATCTTGCTTCCTGCAAACTTCCAGCCACTTCAAAACCATTGCATTATTCTTCGGGAAAGAGAAGTATTGAACTTTTCTTCCTGGCATATTTCTCGTTTTTCGGTTATAATTCTTACAACCTTCTACTGCACAGCTCATTTTCGAAAATTCTTTTTATTGTTTATCACTGATGCACGTACGACAACGATAACGAAAACGATTATCAAGGAGCCGAACCTACACGAACCGCTCCGGAAACAGCCAAGGTGATGACGTCAACATTTAGACTCCCCCACCACTCCAATTCCTGCGCAGTGGTCTACCACCGGAATAACATACCCTTGTATTTATATCATGATTATAGGATCTCTAAAATCCATATGATTTTTAGAAAGTACTAAACCTTCAAATATACTTGTCAAAATTTTAGCTCAATCGGACCTTTACTTTACAAGTTACAATGGTTTAAGTGACACTACTTTTGTCGAATTTGAGCGACCAGAGCGTTCAGCATCATTTGCGTTTTTATGACCGCGTTTAAAGTTAGTATACCACCTCTTAACTGTTGTTTCCGACGGAGCAGAGTCCGAATTAACACTTATCGAGCCATTATTGCTTTGCTTGAACGGTATTTTTTCTCATCAAGAAGCAATGCTTTATCAACACACGAAATTCAAATTTTTCCATTGTTTTAAAAAATGCAAAAGTAGCGTCACTTAAACCACTGTAACTTATAAACTAAAGGTCCGATTGAGCTAAAATTTTGACACGTATGTTTGAAGGTTTAGTACTTTCTAAAAATCATATGGATTTGTTATTAGTGCGCCATCTATTATGTCAGGCCCAGGACTTATTCAGTGATGTGTTATTGTTATATATTTATATGTATACAAGAGGAGATAATTGCAATTAGTACTAATAAAGCATACTTAATTATTACTACCCCAAATTTCATGTAATTAATCACAGCATATTTTGTTCTAATAATACAGCTATTATCATCAACTAGAAAAGTCGATCCGATATTAATTTCTAATTAAAAAACAATTATTCTTTATCTTTAATATACTGTATGTGGCACTTTAAATTTTAAAAAAGGTTTATTGTTTTTTTTTAGATACTGTTATATGTATAAAACTTTATAAAAAATACCTTTATATAATAGATATATATGTATAGCAAAAACTAATAATGATAATATATATCATTATTAGTTTTTGCTATATTTAATTATATGTATAATTAAATTTTTTTAATTATACAAATTTTTTTAGTTACATTTTCAGTTTTTGCTTATATATATAATTAAATGTGTTGAAAAATAAATATTACAGACACTGCACCTACCACAATATCTTCCGAGATTTTTCCTCGTTTGAAAAACGGCATAATACGAACGAAATGGACAAAGTCTGTAACTGTTCAAACTATAGAAGGTTTACCTCTGCGATTAAGGATTCTGCCATCTCTCAGAGATATTGAGGAGGATAATGGAAATTCTTCCAAGATCTCGAGATTTTGGAAGTACCTGAGATTTTTGGGACGATTGTTATTATCGCAATTCGGTATGATCGAGCTAGTTAAAATTTTTATGTATCGTCTATCCGCTTAAGAATTTATCATTTAAATCAATTAATTTAATTAATTTATAATTTATTGCAGGCCTTCTTTGGTTACTTGTGATATGGACGGTGGCAGGTGCGGCAGCGTTTTGCGCCACGGAAGGACCTCGCGAGCGTGAACAGATAGTATCGTTGAAGAATATGCAGAAAGATTTAGCAATCGGCTTGGCGACAGAGTTGCGGCAATTGCGAACGGAACGGGATCAGGATGTCGAGCCATTGTGGAGCAATAAAGTCGGTCAATATGTTGTCAAACATGAGCAACTGCTCTTGATCGCCGTCAATTCCGGTTATGGCGAGGGTGGTAATAACGGGCAGCTGTGGACATTTCCTGGTTGTGTATTATTCGCCATATCGTTAATTACTACTTTAGGTATATTAATTAATTAGGACCAATTCTTAATAAGAGTTTATAATTAATTCTTACATATGTATATATTTTATCCTTTTTTTAAATATTTTTCAATTTTTCAGGTTTTGGAGCACCGGTTCCGCGAACAACCGCTGGTCGCACAGTAGGAGTGATTTTCGCTGCTATCGGTATTCCTGCTCATTTCCTTCTTATATTGAATTTCGGTCTTATGGTGGCTTTTCGCCTACAAAAGTACGTGTTTACCAGACAAGGTGTACAACTCAACAACGCAGAATCGAGTTATTCCAGACGTATGCCTAGATGGATCAAAATATTGTCATTTGTTGGTACAGGTAAATTTTTTATCACGAGTCTAAAAAAATTGACTACAATTATTGCTATCCTCGTTTATACTTAATTTGATTTATTACAGTCACATACTATATTTTGGGAGTACTATGCTTCGGCATAGCGCGATCGAGACCGATCGCGGCGAGTCTGCTGTTTCCGTTAGACTTCACTGCGGCGGGCGGTCTCTCTATTATTGTTGGTCACATACGAATACTATACGGTCTGTATTTAGAAGGCGCTGTTACTATCGCGGCGATAATCGTAGCTATATTACGAGTATCAACAACACAGAGTCTTACAAACATTGGCCTCAAGTACGGTCTCCTGACCAAAGATTAATATGTTTTTAATTTACTTGATACTCTTTAGCCTCTTCACATTTTAATTCAAGACACAAACTATATGACCGCGTTTATAAGACAATGTAATTTTAAAAACACAAAGTATTAAAAAAAAAGATTTTTCAAAAATTTCGAAAATTTTCCAAATCATTTAAATTTTTATTCATTTTATTTTAAATAAAACTTTATATGCATTTCAAGGGTATAAAAATATTTCCAGTGGTTTATACGAAATTTGTGAAAAAACAAAAATTTATAAACTAAATCGTTTCAAACATAAGGTCATATAAAATTTTTGTCTTGAATTAAATGATTATTTAAATGAATATTATCATACTTGAATTAAATGACCAACAAGCAATACACAGTGTGATGACACACTTAATTATCATATCCTTTTTGTTTAACATTGATCAATATCAAGAATGTAATAATTTACTATGTTATACTGTATCCCAGATAGCCAAACCCACCAAAAGCATGCATTGCAAATTGATGCTACATATTATAATGGCAAAAATCGAGCAGCAGTCGAACACGGTTTACCGTTTCAGTATAGTCATAACAGAAATACAGCAAAAAAAGAGCAGACCTGCGTCATAATACACTAGCAAAAATTCTGGGTAATTATACAGAATCACTCAAGCAGCTTAAAAATCGATCAAATTAGGCTTATTCGACGCGTTTTTGCATGAAACGAAAGAATCTGGCAGAAAAAAGTGTCGCTCTGCCCTACGAACCGAGATATTAAGCGTAAAAGTTCGAGATTTTAGAGGTTAAGATATCTGTCACTGCTTTAAAAATAACAAATTACTGCTTTAGAAACACAAAAACACTGCTTTAAAAATACAAATTCACTGCTTTAAAAAACAATTCAATTTAAAACAATAGTGGAGCCCCCCCCCGCAGGGGGGGCAGAACCCACTGCATCCACGCATACACTTTTAACGTAGAAGTAATATGCGTGGATACAGTATGTTTCGCTCCCTCAGTCCCTCTATGATTGTACTGTTGCTGTAAAAACAACAATTCGCTGCTTTAAAAACAATAGTTAAAACCTCCCCGCAGGAGGGGCGGAACTTACTGCATCCATGATGTAAGAATACCAGGTGTTCCGTTACGCATAATGGCGACTGAATATAGAAAGAGCCAATAAGAATTTTGCCTCAAAATTAGAGCGGAATTCAAATAGTATTAATGGAAATATGTAGTAAAAATATAAATAAATTTTTCAAAATATGAAAGAGTATAATTTAAAAAGCTCCAGAGCTAATAAAAATTTATGGTACAAAAAAGAAATGATAACTAAATATAGGTAAATATAGGTAAGTATAGATTTAAATGAAGAAACATAGGTAAGTACAGGTAAGTAGATATAGGTAAGTATGTGTAGATACAGATAATTTATAGATAAAGATTGCCACAGAAAATTAATTTTAATATTTCTTGACTTTTCCAGATTTTTTAGATGAAAATAGAACTTTTCTATGACTAATATAAAATATGTAAATTTTAATATTTAAAAGCAAGGATTGTAAAAGAGCTAGCCTATATGTTATTAAAAACAATACAAAATAAGATTAGTATCATAATACAATTTTAGATGCAATATAAGCTGGTAAAAATAAATAAGTATTGGAAAAAAAGAATGCAGTTATAACAGTAACCTGTGAAAGTAATCTGTGACAGTAACCTGTAAATGCAGTTATGACAGTTACCTTGTGGGCATGTTCAGATTCTCACTCGAGTGCTCTCCGGGTGTCATGTCATCCTTGTTTAACATTTGGTAAACAATAAGTATAGAAGGATACTTGGGTGGCACTCGGGGGAATCTGAACATAGTCTGTGATGATTTGAGGCAAATTTCTGATTGGCCTAAGAGCGGCCATTAATTGAACGACTGCGCATCCATGGGAACGGAACACCTGGTATTCTTACATCATGACTGCATCCACGCATGTTATATCTACGTTGTAAAAGTGTTTGCGTGGATACAGTGGAATCCGCCCCCCCCCCCTGCGGGGGGACTCCACTATTGTTTTAAAGCAGTGACAGATATCTTAATCTCTAAAATCTCGAACTTTAACGCTTATAATATCTCGGTTCGTAGGGCAGAGCGACACTTTTTTCTGCCAGATTCTTTCGTTTCATGCAAAAACGCGTCGAATAAGCCTAATTTGATCGATTTTTAAGCTGCTTGAGTGATTCTGTATAATTACCAAAAGTTTTTTCCTAGGTATTATTAGTCAATTCAGCACTTTTAAGGAGAGGACACAAATGATGGAGAAAGAAATCTAATTAATAAGAATTTAATTAAATTAATAAGAATTTAATTAAATTAAGATTTGCTGTAACTTTTTTTTTCGGCAGTCTATGCGCGATTTTTGCTGCGTTTTTGCCATCAATAGCTAATTAGGTAGGTCGCATTCTATATCTGCCGCGTTTTTGCAGTCGCGACGTGACGGCAGACTGTGCTCGATTTTTGCTGCGTTTTTGCTGTCAGTACTGGTTATGTCAGATTGTGCTGTATTTTTACCGCGTTTCGCTGTTACGATGTGTTAGCAAATAATGATTGATTTTTGTTGTATTTTTATCGTTGTATTATGTTGGCAGGCTAAGCTGTTAGAAACTAAGCTTAATGAGGAAGCAGCAGCTTGATATCTGCTGTAACGTCATGATCAAGTTTGCTGGCATACTGCTGGCATACTGCTAGCATTTTGCTATCTTTCACCTGTCATTGGAAAATACTTAATGAGGAATCACCCCTTAAAATTTTTTAGAATATTTAAGAATCATTTGTATATATACATGCAATTAATCATTACATACTTTATTAATAAAATAAACAAATACAGTTACTTATCCTTAATTAATAATTAGGTAAAAGTACAGAAAAGAGGAGCCACCTCCGATATGGACATATGTTGTCGAGGTCATGACCCTCAGTAACCTCCCGCAGGTTTTAGGTGGCGGTCGCTATCCGTTAAAAAGTTATGATCAAAAAAAGTTTAAAAAATTACGTTTTATTTCTATTATACAGCGTGACTTCTAAGCGAAGTATTGATGTATTTTTTGATATAATGGCTCGTTTTTACTCACCATATCGCGATCAATGAATAATTTGTTCAATAATAATAAAATATATGTATAATTATGAATACTTCTGAATTATTTCTGCAATATATGTATGATGTTAAGTACTATTTTACACCTTTCCGTATTCAAAAACGTTAAACTTCCTTTTACCAATAATTATTTGTAATTACACAATTGAGGGGCTAGATTTTATAAGGGGAAACGTATGAATAGCTCTCTCTCTCTCTCTCTCTCTCTCTCTCTCTCTCTCTCTCTCTCTC